ATATCGTTCTCTTGCTAAAATCCTTCGGTCTCCTCTTCAGTCTTGGATCATGGTCATGACCAAAATCCTAGGCATGGTCTTCTGGGTCAGCCAGGTCTCTGGGCCTTCCCTGTCACTGACTGCCTTCCACAGGGGCCACCTTGCCTTGGGGACTTCGCAGCTCTCCCTGCTCTGCTAGGTGCTCAGAGCTGCCATAACAAGTGGCTTTAACACAACAGAAATTTATCCCATCACAATTCTGGAGGCCAGAAATGTCAAATCAAGGCATTAGCGCGCTCTGCTCTGCCTCAAGGCTCTCGGGGAGAATAATCCGTCTTTGCCTCTCCCAGCTTCTGGTGGCTCCAGGCATGATCCGCTGCAGCAGCCTCACTGCAGTCTCTTGCTTCACGTGCCCATCCTCCCGGTGTGTCTGTGTCTTCACGTGGCGGCATTCTGTGTGTGTCCCTGCCCACACGTGGCGGCATTCTGTGTGGGTCCCTGCCCACACGTGGCGGCATTCTGTGTATCCCTGCCCACACGTGGCGGCATTCTGTGTGTGTCCCTGCCCACACGTGGTGGCATTCTGTGTGTGTCTCTGCCCACACTTCGCTCCTTATAAGGACATTGGGGTCCTGCGAGCTTCTGGTCACAACCTTTTGTCAACTGATCATTGCATATCCTTGTCTTAAGTGTTTCTGTTTAAAGACACCCTCCGTAATCTTTCTTGTTGATTGATTAGCATTGAACTCACAGTGCTATGATGCATGCCTGAGCAAAGCTTATCTGATATACGTGCTTTCCCTATAAGGCACATCACCGCCTTCTGGTTCTTAGGAACCCGGGAAGGCACTTTGGCACAATGCCTGGGGGCCATTTGAAACAGCAGAGTCACCAACAAAAAGCACAACGATGTGAGGAAAAATGTCGCACTCTGTAGACTGTGAAAAGGACACTTGTTTGCCATAGGAGAGCAAGAGCGGGCAGGCAGAGTGTGGCCTTGTTCAGCCCCAGCTGGGAACACGTGCATCAGATGACTTGAATTCAGCACACGTCCGCGAGTGACCGCAAACGCATCTGTGTATTGACTTGGGGGTTAAGGTTATATTTTGGCGAGGAGGCAAATTCACAGATACAGAATCTGTGAATGGTGAGGGTGGAACGTGTCTTCCCACAGGCTTTACTTTTAAAGGCAGAAAGTTGGGTTTCTTGTCTTGGTGCTTTGCTTTACCTGACAATGGACTTTTCCAGCTACTGTTTCAGTTTGAAATTGATCATCCTCTTTCAGAGTGATTCCCACCTGTGTGAACTTGAAAAGCCGCCACATAACATAAGAACAGGGACCACTGTGGGCTGGTGGAGGGGCACCTGATAGGAACCATGCCATATGGCTTTTTGAACTGTTTTAGGTGCAACCATTTTTTTTTCCCAACTGGGTTATTTGTGAGAAAGAATGGAGGAGATACGATATTATTCTGAGTATTAGCTGGATAGGGCACTTACACATGCCTCTCGCGTTTCCATATTGCTCAATTCAGGCTCAGCTGCAGCGCTAGGGACCACGCACAGCAGTTCTGAGCGTCCGGCGGTTGGGAGAACTGGCATCTGTTGCTCTCTGCTCATGACCACTGTGCCTACCCCTACTCTGTAACTACTCCCCTAGCTTTCCCTCTGCTTTCTTGACTGCTCCAGATTTAGTGGTCTCCACTCTGTGTCTCGAGATCTTTTTCAGAGGGAAGATCAGGCTGGGCGATGGTTACCACCCTGGCGGGCAGAGCTCTTTCAGGGCGAGCCTTTGTGGGGTCACCAGTGCGCTCCTCTGTGTGCAGCTTTCCCTGGTGCTCCCCAGACTCTTCTGAAACTCTTTTTTTTGTTATTGAGACGGAGTCTCGCTCTGTTGCCCAGGCTGGAGTGCAGTGGCATGATCTCGGCTCACTGCAGCCTCCGCCTCCTGGTTTCAAGCAACTCTCTGCCTCAGCCTCCCAAGTAACTGGGATTACAGGCACCCAACACCATGCCTGGCTAATTTTTTGTATTTTTAGGAGATACGGAGTTTCACCATCTTGTCCAGGCTGGTCTTGAACTCCTGACCTCGTGATGCACCCGCTTTGACTCCCTCCACTGTGCCCAATCCTGAAACTCTTTATCATCTTGTACCCAGGACTTTTCATGGGGTGTGGTAATTCCTTTTTTCCAATGTCCTGTGAGGTTGGGAGTTCCGGCAGGGAATGTCATCTTTCCGTGTTCCTCGAGCATCATTCTCAATACACGATCTTTGAATGGGTGGATCGACAAATGAATGAATGGAATGAATGAATGGATGAGACCAAGAGCAGCAGTCTCTGCAACTCCTTGTGGCCATTCCACATCCTTGTGAAATACCGCAAAGGTTCCTGTTTCTGTCTCAAAGAATGGTGGCTGGAGCCTCCGTATGAGTGGATGAGGCCAGCCTCTGATGGCACCCCACCTAGGCGATCTTCGGAGCTGGCCTGGGCCTTGTAGCAAGTGTTTCCTATGTGGAAGGCAACATTTGGACTTTGTAGGACTAGCAGAAGACCTAGAAAGAGGGCAGAGCATGGGAGCTCACGTCTGTAATCTCAGCACTTTGGGAGGCTGAGGTGGGAGGATTGCTTGAGCCCAGGAGTTTGAGACCAGCCTGGGAAACACAGGGAGACCCCATGTCTGCAAAAATTTTAAAACGTTAGCTGGGCGTGATGGCTCACACCTGTAGTCCCAGCTACTCGGGAGGCTGAGGTGGGAAAATCGTGTGAGCCCGGGGGTTGAGGCTGCAGTGAGCCATGATCACGCCACTGCACTCCCGTCTGGGTGACAGAGTGAGATCCTGCCTCCAAAAGAAAAGGAGATGCTCTTCCTCCAGTAGAGCTTAAAGTTGGTTAGGAATAGAGAGTGGAGTGTACACTGCTGAGAAGTGTGGAGAGAGAGTGGAGTGTACACTGCTGAGAAGTGTGGACAGAGAGTGGAGTGTACACTGCTGAGAAGTGTGGACAGAGAGTGGAGTGTACACTGCTGAGAAGTGTGGACAGAGAGTGGAGTGTACACTGCTGAGAAGTGTGGACAGAGAGTGGAGTGTACACTGCTGAGAAGTGTGGACAGAGAGTGGAGTGTACACTGCTGAGAAGTGTGGACAGAGAGTGGAGTGTACACTGCTGAGAAGTGTGGACAGAGAGTGGAGTGTACACTGCTGAGAAGTGTGGACAGAGAGTGGAGTGTACACTGCTGAGAAGTGTGCAGGTAAAACGGGATAAGATGAGAGACCCAACTGCCCTAAAGCAATGTTTGATTTTTCAGAGGAGCAGTGTAGATGAGTGAGTGTCGTAGGAGCTGGAGGTGGAGGGACTGCTTTAGGAGGGAATGGTCTGGGAAGCCCTTGTGGAGGAGGAGGAGGCGGGGTCTTAGGGGGCGGATAGGTGCGGCAACGCCAGGGAATGAAGAGCAGAGAGCATGGGATGAGCACGGAGCTGAAGGTGTCTGCAGCAGTCAGTGGGCCAGACTGCGGGAGGCCCACGGGGAAAAGGCTGGGGGCTCCTGCCGGCGCAGGGTGAGGCCCAGCGGGCCATGGAAGGATGCGTGTACTCTGGCATGTTCTGGGCGCAGGGAATAGAGGAGAGAGGAAGTCCATGGCAAGCTGGAGGAGAGTTATTGAGACATCAGCCCAAATTCCAATGAAGAGAATTTTCAGAGCTCAGTTTTGGAGGAAATGAACTAAAGAAGGAAGGGACAAATCAGGATTGAAAGAGGATCACAGTGTCATGCTGTCTGTGAAGTCCTATAGAATGGAGGCGGGCCGGGCATGGTGGCTCACGCCTATAATCCCAGCACTTTGGGAGGCTGAAGCAGGTGGATCATCTGAGGTCAGGAGTTCGAGACCAGCCTGGCCAGTATGGTGAAACCCCATCTCTACTAAAAATACAAAAAATTAGCAGGGTGTGGTGGGGCATCTGTAATCCCAGCCACTCCGCAGGCTGAGGCTTGAACCTGAGAGGCGGAGATTGCAGTGAGCCAAGATCACACCACTGTGCTCCAGCCTGGGCAACGAGAGCGAAACTCCGTCTCAAAAAATAATTAAAAAAAAATGGAGGCCTGTATCCACACCATCTTTGCTTTTGGATCCCAGATTAGATGTAAATGCAGGCACAGATCGGGTGAAGATGAGTGGGGGACGGTGTGGAAGGTGCTTTGTTAGTGACTCCCCTCTGGGTCTGTTCTGACTGACAAGAGGAAGTCCATCTTAGGAATCTGAAAGCCACTGGGAGCATTGTGTGGCCTGGAGGAGGAAGGGTGGTCCCACCATGAAAAGGACTTTGCTTTAAGTAAGTTAAAGGAAAAGAGGATGATGTCAGGTCAGAGGGGAGGCTGGCATTGAAGAAGGGTATTTGGGTGAGAGATTGTACTTGGGTAAAAGCAAAAGCAAAGAGACCCGTGCAGGCGTGGGGGAGCTCTGGAAGGAAAGTCGGGAGGGACGGGCAGCTGGTGGAAAACTCTGGGAATGCCAAATGAACGAATTCCTTTAGCTTCAGTGTGAACATGGGAGTTGGAAGCGTTGGTAGAACCGAGATTCTCAGGATGAATGGCGTGGCCGTCATAACACTTTGCCACACCTGCTTTGCTCTGCCCACTCCGTGGCTATTGGAAGAAGAATCCCCAAAGGCATTGTAAACACTGGGCCTCTGAGCAACCGATGCCTCAAAACAGGCCAGGGTAGTGGGGACAAAGCCTCGCTCTAGGCAAAGTCTAGGGGAGGAGTGCGGGTCCTGGCCTCCAGTGCTCATAGGACCCTCCCAGCGGAGAACAGGCCTGGACCGTCCTGTGTCCCCAGGTGGCCCCCTGGCCAGTGCGAGCACGGGTGGCTCTAGGGCACAGCCCCTGAGTACACCATCCCCCACCTCCGAGTCCCCAACCCCAGGACCGGAGAGAAGGAAAGGGTCAGGCGGGGTGTAGAGCTCTGCAGGCAGACACCACAGTGAGTGGCACCGAGGCCTGACGCTGTGTTTCTCTCCCGCAAGGGCACCATGCCGGTGGAAAGGATGCGCATGCGCCCGTGGCTGGAGGAGCAGATAAACTCCAACACGATCCCAGGGCTCAAGTGGCTTAACAAGGTGAGTGCACCAGGGTGGGTGTATGCGTGAGAGGGGTCCTGGTGGAAACATGCCCACGCGGACTGCCAAAAGTAAAATTGTGTTCCATGTTTTAGGCTCATTCACGATAAAAATCAGCCAAGCCCAAATGATCATAAAACATCAAGTTATCATCTGAAAGAATTGTTTTCTTTTAGAGGCGGGGTCTCACTGTATTGCCCAAGCTTGAGTGCAAGGGTGCAATCGTGACTCTCTGCAGCCTCCACCTCTTGGGTTCAAGTGGTCCTCCCACCCCAGACTCCAGAGTAGCTGGAACTACAGGTACACATGCCACCATGCCTGCTAATTTTTCTGTTTTTAAAATAGAGCCGGGGTCTCACCGTGTTGCCCAGGCTGGTCTTGAACTCCTGGGGTGAAGTGATCCTCCCACCTCTGCCTCCCAAAGTGTGAGGATTACAGGTGTGAGCCACTGAACCCGGTCTCAAAAGCATCTGCATCCTCTGCGACGGTAGCCGCAGCCTGGAGCCTCCGGCGACTGCTCAGCTTCGGTATTTTGGCTGACTGCCTGTGGAAAGCTCCTTTAAGGGTTCTTACCCCCTTCCTTCTCCAGATTCCCTTTAGGACTAGAGGACATGGAAACTCCAGAGTTTTATATAGGGAGTGGAGCATTTTCGTTTCAATGTTCTCTATTTAAAGAAAGCTTGTTTTTGTCTTTTACAAAAGCCGCCTTTTGACCTCTGTAATGAAGGCCTCTCTGTGTGCCCACCTGTCCTAAGAAAGCAGATAATCATTTACAACCTACCCCTCCATGCATAAACACTCCCTTACATTGTTAACCGGAAAACTCTTAATTTAATTGATCCTAGCTATTAGGGGTGAATCAGAAAGAGAAATGTAGGTAAAAATGAAAACCTTCTAGAACTTTATAATCTAGAAAAGCAACTGAATATTATCATGCCTTCTTTAAGGAGGCCCAGGAGAGAAGTTTCTCTTCTACCAGGAACACTTCTAGGTAAATGCCTTTTTCCTCTTCCCCACTCCCTCCTCTTTTCTTTTTTAATCTTAAGGACGCAGTGAATAATTTAGCTGGCCAGGCTCTAGCTTCGTATCAGGTGCGAGAGCTTAGAGCCAGATTGCAGGTTGCAGCTGCTTCCAACAATGAACAGGCTATTGCAGTGGCCTTTGTAGACTAATATCACTCCCGGCCTTACCGGGTCTTTTCAGATAGCTTTCAAATCTTTTTTTTTTTTTAAATTCTTTTCCTTTTATCCACTTATTTTGATTTTTTTGTTCGTTTGTTTATTTGAGACAAGGTCTCCTGTCACCCAGGCTGGAGTGCAGTGGCGTGATCTCAGCTTACCGTAACCTCTGGCTCCAGGCTCAAGCATTCCTCCCACCTTTGCCTCCCAAGTAGCTGGGACCACAGGCACGATCCTGGATAATTTTTATATTTTTTGTAGAGACGCGGTTCACTGTGTTCCCCAGACTGGTCTGGAACTTCAAGACTCAAGTGATCTGCCCTGGCTTGGCCTCCCAAAGTGCTGGGATTAAAGGCATGCGCTACAGCGCCTGGCCTGACTGTGAATGTAATGTTACTGTGTTGAATATGTCTGTCTGAGCCTTTCCGAAACAAGGTAGAGCACTGAGCAAACACAAGTGAAGAAGCCATCTGCTTATTTCCCATGACCTGCTGCGCATCTCAAGGTCTTACCGCAAACAATGTATTTCTCTAGGGTTTTCTGTCTCTAGTGTTTTAGATTTACATATGTAACCAGCTTCTTCCAAAGAAACAGACCACAAGTGGAGTTGCTCCTTGGTCAGCTCAGTTAGCAAGGGTGCCACAGAGGTTTAAGGAAGCGGGGACCAGAGTGCAGGGCAGCTGGAGAGCCAGGGCAGCCAATGATACTGAATGAAAGCTGACGTGTACTCGGCACTTACTGTGTGCAGGTTCTCTTCTAAGCAAGGTAGGTGCATTAACTCACGTTCCACCACCATGGGGTAGGTATTGTTAATATTTTCCATTTTACAGACAAGGAAACTGAGGCACAGAGAAGTTAAGTAGGATTCTGTTTTGAGGAACCAGGTAGCATTACTGTTTGATGTGGGAGGGAGATGAAAGCAAATGCTCCTGCGTTCTGAAGAGAAGTAAGCTGTCTGTTTTCGTTTTTCCTTTTTTAAAAACACCACGGGTTAGGGTGGGCTTGATGCAGTGGAGAACAGGCAGTGTCTCGCACCTCCCTGTTGAGCAGGCGCCCGATACGCTGTCCGCCGTGATTGGTTTAGACTAATTGTGAGTCCCTTCTCGGCTCTGTGGTACATGGAGCTGTGGCTGCCCCCAGAAGCTAGATCCACATCCTAACCCTCAGAACCTATGGATGTCACCTCATTTGGATAAAGGGTTTTGCAGATGTAGTGAAGGCCCTTGAGATGGGATCATTCAGGGTGGGCCCTGACTCCAGTGAGGAGTGCCTTTATGAGAGACAGAAGAGGACACACACACCGAGGACAGGGGCATGCGTGGACCGAGGCAGAGACGGGAGAGAGGCAGCCACAGCCAGGGACTCCGAACAGACGAGGAAGGATCCTTCCCAGAGCCTTCGAAATGAGTGAGCCCTGCGGACACCTTGATTTGTGACTTCCGGCCTCCAGGACTGGGATGGAATGTGTTTCCGTTGCTGTGAGCCACCCAGTTTGTACCATTTTTCACGACAGTCTTGGGAGACCGACGTGCCCTCTGAGGCTCACTTCCTTACTGGGACTCTCTGCTGAGATGCGTTTTCTTCCATCTGTTGTGTCCATGTTTTTCTGAGATAGGACCAGAAGGCAAATGGATTTTTCTTTATGCAGATGAACACTTGGCCCCTTCCAGGCAGCCCTTACCTGCTGAGCATCACTCATCTGGCTCTTGGCTCGCGAGTTTTCATCCCGAGGCATGGAGGGAAAGGAGACCTCTGTGTCATGTCACTGGGTTCCTCTGCCAGAGCTGGACACGAGCCAGGCTGACGAAGAAGAGCACATTCCTGGCTGCCAGCCAATGCCGCCTCTCAGCCCCGCCCTGGCACAGAGGCCAAGGCCTGCACTGTGACCTCGAGGCCCTGTCAAGCTGCATCCTACTGAGGCCTAGCCAGAGTGGGCACGTGGCACTGCTTGTGCACGTGGGCACTGCCATCACTGTCACTGCAGCCTCAGCTGGCGTCAGGATCTCTCCTCTCCATACCTGCAGTCCCGCAGGGCATCTTATTATAGGTTTCTGCTGACGTAGGCTTGCTGGCATTCATCTGTCCATATAGATACCTAACCGAGCGCCTACTGCTCCCTCCCTCCCACTCACAAGCATTCTGCCTGGGAATCCCTGTTTGTGTTTTGAGAGGTTTGAGGTCATTCCAAGATCCCTTTTGCCACTGAAGGCTGCCGTAACTCTTAGAAGAAACTGTTCACAGGGCTATGGAACTCACTTCTGCATCAGTCAGCGTTCAGGATGTATTCATGTTTATTGTGACGTGCTCCAGGCTGGGAGCCCCATGCGCTGGTGCCTTGGCTGTCTCCCTCATTACTGCCTGTGCAGGGCCAGGCCTAGTGCCTGGTAAGTGGGAGGCACTCTGTAAAAGTTGTTCTGGGGATACGTGAATGAAGGCTGTGGGCTTGCAGGGGGGCAGCATTGGTGGCTGTGTGTTTGTTCTGTCAGGATAATCACATTTATGAGCACCGGGTTGGCAGTTGTCACATGGCTCTCAGAAAGTCCATTCAACCTGCCACATTCTTAGTGAGAGAGAAAGAGTTGGTTAGTTAATGCCTTGAATTTGTTTCGATCCCCTGCTGTCTTAGTGTGTCCTCTGCTGCTTATAACGGAATACCTGACTCTGGATAATTTATAAAGGAAAGGAATGTATTTCTTACAGTTATGGAGGCTGAGAAGTCCAAGGTTGAGGGGCTGTATCTGGCGAGGGCCTTCTTGCTGCTAGGGAGCGTCTGCAGAGTCCTGAGGGAGTGTGGGGCATCACATGGTGCGGGGGACGAGCGTGCTCACTTGCTGGCAAACGTCTCTCTTCCCCTTAAAAAGCCACAATCCCACCCCCATGACAACCTATTAATCCCTTAATCCCTGACTGGATTAATCCATTCGTGAGGGCAAGGCCCTCCTGACTCCAACACCGCTTAAAGGACCCACCTCTCAGTACTGCACATTGAGAATTAAATTTCAATATAAATATTGTAGGAGGCAAATATTCAAACCACAGCTCCTACTTCTAATAAGTTTGAAAAAGGGTGGGAATGGAATGGGGTTCCTTGGATTCCTCTGAAGGAACAGCAAGGAAGGTTGGAAAAGTGCGTTATAACCAGCTCATGAATGAGGCCTTGGCTGGGGCCATTCTCCCTTGATTATGAGTATTTGTGAATGTGCATAGTGTGTTTGAGTAGCCCAATGACTAGAAAAAAATAGGATAGCGAATTTCCATGTGCCTGCATCTAGGTGTATGAATATATGAGTATTTGCCATATCTTTGTGTGTGTGTGTGTGCGTGCGCGTGTGTGTATCTTTGTGGTATTTTAAAGCAACTTCCTGACAGTGTACACTGTAAGACATAAGGACGTTGTCTTATATCTCCACAATATCATTATTAATTGGACAATCAATTCCATTAATCCCATCACTGCTCCATTCATATTCAGAAAGCCTTCAGTATTCCCAAAATACCTCTTTGTGGCTGATTTGTTCAAATCAGAATTCAAAGAAGTCCACAGGTTGTGTCTGGTTTTGTGAGTCTAAGTCTGCAGACTGTGGGTAGTGCCCTCTGTGTGTTCCCTTCTCGCCATTGGCTTGTTGAGGCCAGGTTAGTTTTGGGTTTGTCCACGTGCCTGCTTGTGGTTCCCTGGGCCTTTTCTTGAAGAAGGAAGGAGGCAGCCACATTCGGGGTCCCAGTGTCTCTGGTAGCTCTGCCTGACCCCCGCAGTGGCGGGTTGTTGATGTTCTTATTTCCTGTTGGAGATCGTCCTGGATCCATGCACTAAGGCAGGGGAATCATCAGCCCTTTCCTTTCTTCCACTTTGAAAGTACATTTGTGTTTGTGTAGACATCAGGCCATCTCTGACCAGGGTAAGGAGTCCAAACAAAAATCGCGCACTCATTGGAACATCTTAAAAACGTTGCGGGGAAGAAGAGGGAGAGAAGATAGCAGAACCAGTTTCCATGTGGGGCCAAGGGACCCTTATTCTGCATTGCTCAAGATAATCTCAGATGCTTTTCTGAAGTCGAGCAGCACTCATCTCTCCTGCCTTCCTTCAGAAGGGCAGAGTTCTGCACATAGACAGGGCAACCATCCATGCACAGTGTGTGGGACACCACATGTGCAGGACGGGTCACTCAGGGATGAGACACCTGACACATACTGATATCACAGGGTCCACACAGACAGAGCAACACCGTCAAGTCCCATGGAACACACGACTTGTGGCCAGAGTGTTTACTGGTCAGAATCTCTTTCAGTTTCAAAATGAATCTCACTTTCTTTTTCTTTTTAATATGGTCTGCTTCAAAAAGAGAATCTGTGATGTGATTTTAAAGATATTTCTGATAAGTTTCTTAGTCTTTTTTTTCCCCTGCAATATGAAAAACGAATTAAAAGTTACATGTAGTTTAAAAAATCTTTACCATTTTAAAGTGACCATCACAATGTCATGCGGGCATCACCACTGTCCAGTTCCAGAACTTTTTAACCCTCCAAAAGGAAATGCTGAACCCAGTAAGCAGTCACTTCCCATTTCCCTCTCCCCTAGCTTGTGGCAACACTAATCTGCTCTCTGTCTCTATGGATTTGCCATTTTTGGGTATTTTATGTAAATAGAATCCTTCAGTATTTGGCCTTTTGTGTCTGGCCTCTCTCGCCCAGCATAATGTTTTCAAGGTTCATCCACACGGTAGCAAGTGTCAGAACTCTGTTCCTTTTCATGGCTGAATAATATTCCGTTGTATGGATATACCACATTTCGTTTGACCATTCATCAGCTGATGGACACTTGGGTTGTTTCTATCTTTTGGCTTTTGTGAATAGTGCTGCTATGAACATTTGTGTTTAAGTTTTGGTTTGAATGTTTGTGTAGAATTTTTACATCCAGGTGTAAAATTACTGGGTCATAAGGTAATTCTGTTTCACTTTCTCCAGAGTGGCTGCACTGTTTTACGTTCCCACAGCAATGATTGAGGATTCCAGTTTCTCCACACCCTCACCAACGTTTGTTATTTGTTTATCTTTTTTTGGAGACAGGTCTATGGAGTAGTATGTTTCGTGTTGCTATGAAGGACTACCTGGGGCTGGGTAATTTATAAAGAAAAGAGGTTTCTTTGGCTCAGGGTTCTAGGCTGTACAAGAAGCATGACATTGGCATCTGCTTCTGGTGAGGCCTCAGGATGGCAGGCAAAGGGCATTGCCTGGCAAGAAAGGGAGGAATAGAGAAGGGTGCAGGTGTGAAGCTCTTTTGAATAAACAGCTCTCACAGGAACTAATAGAGGGAGAACTTACATATTACCACGAGAATGACACCAAGTCTTTCATGAGGTATCCTGCCCCATGACCAGGCACCGCCCACCAGGCCCCACCTCCAGCACTAGCAATCGCATTTTAACAGGAGATTTCCGGGGGACACACATCCGAGCTATGCCAGCCCACTCAGACCTGTTGCACAGTTCAAGAGGACGCATAGTGGCTGTTGCCAGGTTCAGTCAGTGCTTTTGTAGTTGGATGACTTTCGCGTGGTTACTCTGGGACTAGGTGTGTGTGTGTGTGTGTGTGTGTGTGTGTGCGTGCGCGTGTATGCATGTGCATGCATGCGTGCATGTGCATGTGTATGTGTGCACGCATGCATGCAGCTGCTTAAAAAGATCTACTTTATCTGTATCAGTTTTGCATCTTGCAAGATAGACTTCAGATTGTGTCACCCTAGAACTCCTTTGACCTAGAAAAAAAATACAACAGGAAATTCTTAAGAATCTCTGCGTTTAGGCATAAAGCTTTAGATTCTGGGCATGCACTTCAGGAAAAGTTCTTTCATTGAAATCAATTTTCACCTATATTCATTTTCATGAACATCAAGAAACGACATTTAGTGATTTTGCTCTCTGATTTTCATCTACATGAAAGCATAAAATGTCACTCAGCCCCTTTCTGATCACTGTCCTTTTGAAATGGGCTGATCGGAAGCCCTGCTACCTCTGTGGATGATACAGAATGAACACTGACGAGTTGATGAAAAAGTCTCTCGCTTTCAGTTCTCCTTTCATAACTGACTTTTTAAGAATATGGTAGAAATTTCCTTTTAACAGGTTTTGGGAAACTCTCCAATGTTCTGAAATGTTCTTAGTCCTGGCTTTGTGATTGGTTCTGTGGAGAGGCACTGAGTCTCTTTTGGGACGGCTGGGACGCTTTCTGCGTTTCGTTGTGTGAGACTGAAGTGGTGGAAACTCCCTCCTGACATTTCATTCCTTCCTCAGAGTGTAGTGCAGGGACCCGCATACCTAGCAATTACCAGAACTGCCTTGAGAGCTTTAGAAGAATACAATCTCCTGGGCTTTAATCTCCACAGAATCCAGGTCTCAACTGGTCTGTCACAGGACAGGGAATCTTCCAAATCTAAAAGCTGGGAGACAGTGGGTGGGTGATTAAGTAATGGTTTATGGAGTCACATGACCTGGTTTTTGAACTTAAGACACTCACTACCCTGTAGGTTCCTTGGCTAAATAGTTAAAAGTCTGTTTCTTGGTTTCCTCAGGTATAAAATGGAAATTGTAACATACACCTCACTCAGTAGGCTGTGGGAGGAAAACAAAACAGGTCCGCGTGGACATGGGTAGTCAAACGCGCAGGGCCACTGCGACCTTGGTACCTGCCGGTCCTACCACACGAGCTGCTTGGGGCAGGTTCCTCACTGGTAGCTTCACTAAGAGTATGGCTTTGTTTCTAAACCAGGGGGTTCCAATCCTGTGTTTTTCAGGGTTGCTTGAGGCAGTTTTGAGTTAGCTCTCTGGCTGCGGGAGAGATGTAGAGATAGTCTGGTGTAGGGAGTGTGTGGAGACATGTTGCTCCAGCGCGTGTCATCGCATAACCTCCGCCTCTTCGTTTGCGCTCCTTGCTACTTCCTGCAGAGACAGTGGACCCAGAGGGATTCGGACATTACTTTCTGTTTCTGTTGGAGATACTTGGTTTCTGTGACAGTGGCCTCAGATATACCCGACTTCTCTTGAGCAGCATAAAGGGGTATAATTTTGGAAAGTTGCCTGACTTTTCATTTTTCCTAAGATAACTGGAGTTACTGTTTACCAAATGATGAGAATACATTATAAGAATAAGCATTAGAAGTTTCAGTCCGTGGCCATTTTTCTGTGGTTTTATAAAAAAAGATGAACAGGGCTGAGTGCAGTGGCTCATCCCTGTAATCCCAGCAGTTTGGGAGCCCGAGGCGGGCAGATCAGTTGCGGTCAGGAGTTTGAGACCAGCCTGGCCAATTTAGTGAAACCCTGTCTCTACTAAAAATACAAAAATTAGCCATGCATGGTGGCGCGTGCCAGCCATCCTAGCTACAAGGTAGCCTGAGGTGGGAGAATCCCTTGAACTCGGGAAATGGAGGTTGTAGTGAGCTGAGATCATGCTATTGCACTCCAGCCTGGGCAACAGAGTGAGACTCTGTCTGCAAAAACATATATTAAAAAAATAGAAATGAGGCAGAAATAATGGAACACATTGGCATATCCCAAATCATCACCTTGGACCTTGGAAAACATTCCTGCTCTGCAGCACTTCATGAGACTGACCGGCCCCCCGGGGTAGGCTATCAAGATTGGGATCCAGTGGGGAGGTGGGTCTGGTTTACAGTAGATCTTCCTGTCAACAGTCAGCGCATTCAGTGATGCTGGGAAATCTTGCTGGCCAGACCTCCAGAACCCTTTGCAATTGTGTTCCAAAACCTGTGACCGCAGCTCTTCTTTACCTTCTTTTTTTTTTTCCAGGAGAAGAAGATTTTTCAGATCCCCTGGATGCATGCTGCTAGACATGGGTGGGACGTGGAGAAAGATGCACCACTCTTTAGAAACTGGGCAATCCACACAGGTACTAAAACTCCCTGCGACGTTACAGAGGCAGTCACTCACGCTTAGTTTTCTTTTTATTACACATAAAATATCCCGGCTTATGACCTCATGAAGATGGCTCTGAAAAACCTGTGAGTTGTCCCTAGGCACTTCCAGGACACATGGGGTACAAATTACACCTCTCCGAAGTGATGTTGCACTCATCCCATAGATTCTTAGTCCTTAAATTTCCTACAAATGTGGTATTCTAAGAAGTTCTCTAGGTGTTACCAGGGGAGTATAAACTCATCGTTTGTTTGATGCTATAAACTTTGATCAAATTTATCTCCCCCCAAAAGGCAATCAGAAAGAAATTGATTTATTACATTTACGTAGGGAGCTATTCACAGGAACGGAACTTGTGTGGGGTGTTGGAGTGTTAGATGGAAAGAGGCACTCAGGTTCCCTCCACCTGTTGACTTTGCAGCCTCTCAGTCTTCTGTGTTTCTTATGTCGATGCTCAATTGTTCCAGCATTTATAGTTTCCTCAAGCTGTGTGGTAGAACTGGGTGACCAGCTTGTCCCAGTTTGCCTGGATCTGTTCAGGTTTTAAAAACAGAATTCCCACATCCCAAGAACCTTCTCACCCCCAGGCACACCAGGACGATTTGTCACTGGAGATATAGCCTGGAGTGAAAAGGTTGCCTTGTACTGCCTGGCCAGCCATGCCATGTTTCCAGAAATTTCTTCCTCTGTATCTCATGTTTTCCCTCTTTTTCTTACCCTTTGTCTGTGCTGTTAGGAAAGCATCAACCAGGAGTAGATAAACCTGATCCCAAAACATGGAAGGCGAATTTCCGATGTGCCATGAACTCCTTGCCTGATATTGAAGAAGTGAAGGATAAAAGCATAAAAAAAGGCAACAACGCGTTCAGAGTCTACCGAATGCTGCCCCTGTCGGAGCGGCCTTCTAAGAAAGGTAAAGGTGTTTGCAGACGGAAAAGAGATCACTCGGTGTGCATCACCGTGCCTTCGTGATTTCTTCTTCTCTACATCTGCAGTCACTTTGCAGGTAGAGCAGCGTGTTCATTCCACCCCTACCGGGCTTGGAAATAAGACTTTCAAGTCGCCAAAGGTAGTAAAAGATGCACGTGGAATTTTGACCATGTACAGACCAAAGCAGCAGGTTCATAGAGAGTTTCAGGAAGAATTATTTAACCTAAGGGAAAGGTTTCTCTGGAGGTCCTTCATGAATTAATCCAAAACTACATATTTTTTTTTTTTTTTTTTGCCACAGGAAAGAAACCAAAGACAGAGAAAGAAGACAGAGTTAAGCACATCAAGGTAACCTTGGGTGGTTCAGAATGTTGCAGTAGGATCTTATTAATGGCTCCTCTAAAAAGGAGTCGCAGGACCTCTGTGGAGTGTGTCATCTTTCTTCCTTTGCCCGCGTGTCTTCTGTGCTTTACATGTTTGCTCTTCGGCATGTATCCACGTGCAGACATAGGTACACGGGGCCCCGCCTCATCCCGTCTCCCTGGGAAATTTATGAATGAAGTCACAGACTGACACAATGTGCTCGGCAGCCTGAGGCCTCCATCTGGCCACCACAGCCTCTGCCAGCGGTCACTTCGTGTCAGCTAAGCTCCACACTAGCTTATGTCTCATACTCTTAACTATATTTTCAGGCTTTTAAATATACCGTAATATGTGGGAAATGTTATATGCCTCTATAAAATGTATGAACCGTATTTTATACACATTTCATCACGGGCCCTTTGGCGGGGGATTCCGTGCTCAGCCTCAGCCCTCCGTCAGCACAGCTCTCAATGGCTGCCTTCTGTCCACTGTGGAATTATCTGTCATATCCCACGAGGGTTCTCCACGGGATGTGCGTGTGTGTGAGCTTCTCACTAGGCTCTGTAGTCTGAACTCCCTGCAGCTTAAGGATCTTCGTGGATAGATTAGGTGGCCCTTGTTAAACAGGGAGAGAAGAGCCAAATATTCCCCGCAAAACCGGGGACAAGCTTCACTTGCTGAGCAGAGAGCAGCAGACGCTGCAGTCACAGACCCAGGAACCTCAGAGAGACTGTCTGGCTCGCTGGCCTCTCTTTGCAGATGAAGAGATGGCGGCTGAGTGACATGCACCCAGGGTCACCTGGGTACTCAGAACTAAACTTGAAAGAGATGCTAATTATACTGATTTATAATCTAGAATAAATGTTAAAGTAAAAAAGAAAGCAGACCATTTAGACAGCACAATGTTTAAAAACAAGCCACTACTTTGGAATTAAAAAAAACCCAAATAATATGCTTCTGATATAAGTTAGACTCATGAAGGTAGGTAGCTTGTGAGGAAAGACTTAGATAAACTGTTGAAGCTTTAGAGATAGTTACTTGTGTGGTGGTAAAATAAATATTATAGGCAGGGTATTTTTGCAGTGATACTTTCAGTTTCACTTTCTGTATATATACATATATATTTTTGAGTCGAAGTCTCATGCTGCTGCCCAGGCTGGAGTGTAGTGGTGCGACCTCGGCGCACTGCCACCTCCGTCTCCCCGGTTCAAGCAATTCTCTCACCTCAGCCTCCTGAGTAGCTGGGATTACATGTGATCGCCCCCACACCCAGGTAATTTTTGTATTTTTAGTAGAGACGGGTTTCACCATGTTGGCCAGCCTGGTCTTGAACGCCTGACCTCAGGTGATTCGCCTGCTTCAGCCTCCCAAAGTGCTGGGATTACAGGTGTGAGCCACCACGCCTGGCCCCAAAACAGTTTTTTATAGTTCAGCTTAATATAATGTTCGAAGCAAATTCCATACCTCTTCCATAATAGTTCAGCATATGTATTTAAAAGTTAAGTGCTGGCTGGGCACGGTGGCTCAAGCCTGTAATCCCAGCACTTTGGGAGGCTGAGGCGGGGGTGGATCACGAGGTCAAGAGATCGAGACCATCCTCGTCAACACGGTGAAACCCCGTCTCTACTAAAAATACAAAAGATTAGCTGGGCATGGTGGCGCATGCCTGTAATCCCAGCTACTCAGGAGGCTGAGGCAGGAGAATTGCCTGAACCCAGGAGGCAGAGATTGCGGTGAGCCGAGATCGCGCCATTGCATTCCAGCCTGGGTAACAAGAGCAAAACTCCGTCTCAAAAAAAAAAAAAAAAAAGTTAAGTGCTCTGTAAAAATACCATGATGTCATTATTGTACCTGAAGAAATGAATGGTAATTTCTCCATATCAGTGAATATCCTGCCAGTGTGGAGAGTTTCAGTTGGTCCATACATGTTACAACTTTCATGTGGTTTGTTTACTTAAATTGAGACCCATATAAAATCCACATGTGATTTTTGAATGTCTTTTCAGTATTATTATTTCTTTTTCTTTTTTTCCTTTTGAGATGTAGTCTCACTCTGTTGCCGGGCTGGAGTGCAGTGGCACGATCTCAGTGCACTGCAACCTCCGCCTCCTGGGTTCAAACGATTCTCCTGCTTTAGCCTCCCGAGTAACAGGGAGTACAGGTGCACACCACCACGCCAGGCTAATTTTTGTGGGTTTCATCATGTTGGCCAGGATGGTCTCCATCTCTTGACCTCATGATCCACCTGCCTCGGCCTCCCAAAGTGTTGGGATTACAGGCGTGAACCACCGTGCCCGGCCAAGTTTTTTTTTGAGTATGTGTGGTCTCCTATATTACCTCTTAAAACATTTATTTATTTATTTTTTACAATTGAACAAACTTAGTTGTTAGCCATATCATTTCTTGGTTTTTGTTTTGTTTTTCGAGACAAGGTCTTACTCTGTCACCCGGGCTAGAGTGCAGTGACGTGATCATGGCTCACTGAAGCCTCAACCTCCTGGGCTCAGGTGATCCTCCCCACCTCCGCCTTCCTCTGGTAGTCGGGTCTCCCTCTAGTAGTCAGGTGTTCGTCACCAAGAACGGATAAGTAAAAATTTTTTTTTTTTTTTTTTTTTTTTTTATATATAGAGGCAAGGTCTCACTCCGTTGCCTAGGCTGAAGTAATCTTCCTGCCCTGGCTTTTCAAAACGTTGGAATTACAAGTGTGAGCCTGGCTGAGTTTGTATTTTTAAGGCCTACATTTTGATTCATGTTGTTTAGTCAGAAATGTATAGCTTCCTCACAAATGTGTGATTTTGAAGAATTTGCTACAATGTTACGTGTGACGGAAGTACTGTTTTCCTGTCATGTAGCTGAGTGTCTGGCCCAGAACAGATCTCCAATAGGAATTTGATACCTGATGAGTCCTATCAGCATTTGTTGACTAAACAGATGCATCAAGAAGTAGGATATGTGGGGTGCGAGTGAGGGGTTTTCCGTTAAGGTGCAGATTTCATCTCACAATCACAGTTAATGGAGAAGTAAGAATGGAGGGACAGATGTCGCGTTTTCAGCACAGGTCGCTCCCATGTATCCACTTTGTTCCATCGGACGCCAGATGTCAATGATGCTAAGATGCACCGTTACTTTATGTTTGTCTCAGAGAAGCTGCTTCCGATGAAACCATGGCACGTAATGGATTGTAAGGCATATCCTCCTTCAGGGCTGTGGCAGTGTGAGGAAATGTGCATCTTAGAGTCCATGCCATGGGGTGGTCCCTTCGTCCGAGATCTCTGCGGCCACATCAGCACTGGCGGTGTCTTCACATGGCCACTAAAATGCGCAAGTTGTGGAAGGCACGGTCCTTCCCTTGACCATCCCGGCCCAGTAAGTAAGAGATCTCAGGTGCAGCTGTGAGGGTCAACAGCCGCCTTAGCCAAGTGTGTTTTATGCAAACCTTGTGCCGTGGAGATATGGCTTATACCTGAAACTTTCCCCTCCAAAGGACACATGATTCCTGCAGCAGAAGGCAGGTGATTCACCAGACCTAAGCCAGCCCAACTTTGGAATTTAAAATCTGCTTGCATTGTTCTTTGCAGTGTAGCAGGGAAGCTTGGAAGTAGCCAGCGGGCTTCCGGAGGTCTGGACTTCCTGGCTCTTCAAGCCGTTGTGTAGACTCAGTGTCCCTGTGGCGTGTTTGAAAAGTGAACCCCCAGGGCATCTGGAATTGGACAGTCAGAGGACAATTATTAGCTGTTAATATATTACTTTTTAATTGTACGTCAAAATACCCAAGCACTGGCCGGGCTCAGTGACTCACACCTGTAATCCCAGCACTTTGGGAGGCCGAGGTGGGCGGGTCATGAGGTCACAAGTTCGAGACCAGCCTGGCCAATATGGTGAAACCCCATCTCTACTAAAAATACAAAAAAATTAGCCGGGCGCAGTGGTATATGCCTGTAGTCCCAGCTACTTGGGAGGCTGAGGCAGAAGAATCGCTTGAACCCAGGAGGCGGAGGTTGCAATGAGCTGAGATTGCGCCACTGCACTCCAGCCGGAATGACACAGCGAGATTCCGTCTCCCAAAAAAAGAAAACACCCAAGCCCTGAGTTAACATATCCTGTGCAAATATACTAAACCTACTTAGTCTACTCAAATATGTAACTGGATAGACTGTAGATTTCTTCTGTTGAGAAAAGCTGTCTTTTATGTAGTAACTAGGTATGAAAATTGGTCGTTGAAGCAAGCTTTTTCCAATCTTCAGTTCGAGTTGAAGTTAATTAGCAAACAGTGTTTACAGCAGGTAGGCCAAGTGTTAGACTTTTCTTGGGGTCACTCATGATTTATCTCCATGCTTTATGTCCCCCAACAAATAGTCTTCCCGAGACTGGAAGACCCAAGGCCCATTGGCCATGTGGTAGGTAGCATTCTCTGACATTTCCTTTTGTGAGTATATCTCTACAGGCTCAGTGAGCCATGTTTTCCTGGAGCTAAACCCCACCTGTGCGGCAGGAACTAGATATCTAAGGAAATAAGAACAAGAAAAACAGCTGGGTACAGTGGTGCATGCCTGTAGTCCCAGCTACTCAGGAGGCTGAGGTAGGATTGCTTGAGCACAGGGCTTCAAGGCTGCAGTGAGCCATGATTGCCCCACTGCACTCCAGCCTGGGCAACAGAGCAAGATCCCTTCCCCACCTCAAAAAAGAAAGAAAAACAACAGTGACCAATCCCGGATTCTACATCATCAGTGCATATATATGTTTCAGAAAATAGCACGGAACGGTTTTCTCTGTGGGACTTCAGACAAGGCCAAGAACAATAAGGACAGAAGTAGTTAAAACAGAGGGGCGCTGGTTGATATTTTTGAGCTGATTCCAAGTTCCCAGCTATGATTATTGTCTCATTGAGTTCTCCCTGTGATGGGCAGGTTCATCTCCCTTTTATACATTAAGGAAATGGATACACAGAGAGGCTGATTGGTTTTCCCAAGGCTGCATTGCTTTAC